TGCGTGGAAACATTTCTATTGCTTAACCACCCTGCAGCCTGATATTATGGAAACGTTGATTTAATTTTGTCGACCTCTGGAGTCCCCACGTTGAAAGATGGCATTTTTCAAAGTGTAGTGAGGTTCCTGAACATCACTAGTCAGCATACTAGAGCTGGCGCACCGGTTAAAATCGTACAGTGAAGCTTTCACCACTGCGAGGCATCGTGAACAAGGATCTGCCATAACATGCTAGTGAACGTCACCTTCTGGATGGCAGAACCAGGCTTCTCCATTATCCATTGGCATCAACTGAAATGTTGGAGGCAAAGAAGTCACAATAAGTGTTACCCTTGCTAAAGATTGAATTGCCTCAATCATATGTTTTGTAGACAAACTATACAACATTTCTCGTACTGGACTTTGAACGTCAAAAGAAATGAATGATCTCTTGAGAAAAACTAGGTCACACTGACGTTACATTTTCAACGTTTAGGCCAGGATCGAAAACGTCTTTTGTGTCAGCCACTATTTAATGACCTGCTGTATTCATGCATGTTATATTGAAGCTACATCTCCTCCTAGAATGACGTATGAACCACTGAAAATAATCGATTGAACGTGAGGGTAGCTGTGAGAATCGCTATGTAAACTCGATGTACCAATCACTTGACGGATCACCCATGAAATGAGTTGACAATAAGGTAAATGAAATCAATACAGCAAATGAAGTAACCTCACATATGTACTGTACAATATTTTCAATTAGTTGAGTGTTATTACATCGATAAATTGAGTGCAAGTCATGCGATCATGGGTTTTAGACAAGTGGAGAATATTTCCCAACCTGTCTCTATGCTGATAGTGTGAAATTGTAGTCAGCGTTTCTAATAATGCAACTGTGGGAAGACAAACACTATTTGTATAAATAGTTGTTAGTCAGGTTATAGGCCGTTTTATTTCCTAATTTCATCGCTTAAGTCAACAAAATTTCATGCTTGTCAAATTGTGACAAAGCTTTATGTCAAAATCAATAATAAATAGCTTTGATTCGCGAATTAGCTATGGAAACTGAAGTAGGTAGTGCTGATTTATATGTTCAAGGTTTCTGATCGTGCAGAACATGTTCACGGTTGTTTATTCGGAAATGCCAGAAATCGCAAATTTATTAGAAAAGAAATGGGATGATGCCAATGAAACTGAGTTATAAGATTACGTACGGTCATTCCAAGAGAAAAGATATATATGTACGTTAGGAAGTAATAAATACATAGTAAATTAACCAGGAAAAAAGGATTAATTTGTCGTTATTCTCAAGGTTCGTTGTGTTAGATCACAGTACTTTTTCACAGGGGATTTGTCTGATGTTTCCATACAACCTTCTTATCTATTGTCTGCTATTAGTGGGAAAATCTAAGAAAATGATTAATTCGGCAGTCGAAGCTTGCTAACATCATTCATCTCAGTTGAAGATTTTTTGTTCTTTTGTGACTTAGTTCTTTTAATATGTTGTAGATGACGTCAAATCGCAATTGACTATGATCATCATTACAGGAAGATTACGTGCAACGTATCGAGTTGAATCCCTCGAAAGGCCACAAACCAGAAGGCTGTTGACGGTTGAAATATGATATATTTGTTGGCGATCACGTGGCATCAAAAGAATACTGAGACGTGCCGAAGTTAACGGGCTCAACTGTCGAGCGTAAGCGATTTCGTTCAAGATCACAGACAACGGGAATAAGATTGTCTTTTGCACACTTAAACAAACAAGTACAGTAAAACAACTGATGGTACAAATGGTTATAATAATAATTGTTTCTATAATATCAATCGCGTTCTCATCACAAAGGTGGTTCACTACAATGTCGTCGACTTCTAATACTCAGCAATGTTTTACGGGTGGATTTGTTATTTATCCACTATTCAATAAATCAATATAACACTCATACATCAGAACCGAAATTCAGAAGTGTGGGTATCATCATTCTTCAAGCTTCTAACTTTCTTGGCAATTTTTTTGGTAAATAAAAAAAATGAGTGAAACATTACAAGAAAATAAAATCTTTTTAGTAAAATAAACGCAAGATCATATTAGATACGTAGTTATATTTCAAACTGTGACCGTCTAACTAGTTCAGCCACTTGAGCAGATTTCTCATTCATACTTGTCGATTCCGTGATTTTTTCGTCAAAAAACGGTCTAACATCACATGTGGTGGTTGATGATCTGCATAAGTATGTTTGAGCTGACCATTCGATACTTACAGAGTCGATGTTTCCTTGTTTTTGGATCACGAAATTTTTAGATTTCTTTGAAATAATTTTGAAAGGACCTTCGATAGGTGAATTTGTGTGACGACTTATTCTAGACTATTGACACGTCGAGCTCTTTCTAACCCATATATGTACATTTTTTTCTAAATTTCAACATATATAACTGGTTTTGATAGGCCTAGTCAAAGCCTTTGTGCCAGGATGAGAAAATGAATGGAAGCTACTAAACATTAATTTTCGCATGCTTTCGGGGACGAAAGGTCAGAACAATGCCTTGATCGTGTCACAGTAAATCAGAATACCGTCAAAAGATGATGGTAACTGCCTTAGTTTGAGACTAGAGTTGTTTGTTGCAAGTTGGTTTCATAAGTGTTGATTCTTCTCTTGTTTGTCTCTCAATAGAAAGCAATTGATTTCCAGGCGTTTATAACCAGTGATTAGGGAACTACTAACTGCTTTATCCGAAGCATTTACCATCAAAGAAAAAGAAGCAAAAAATTCGGATACATCAACATTGATGCTTCAGCCAGTTTATCCCTAAGCTGTTCAATAACCTCAACAGCCTCAGAATCAGCCTGCATTCGGTTCTGATCTTATAACCTACATTCAGTTTACTTTTGAAAGGCTGTGGGTTCAGTTTGGTCATGTTTGGGAATTCCGTGACTATATCCTGAAATTTCACCTTTGTTACTGGTTCAAGTCCATCAGTGGGACCAAAGTTTCATGATTGCAATTCTTGCATTGACTTGCTTTTTGCACTGTGATTCTATGGGAAAGGTAAATGGAAAGTGATCCAACAACCTTTCTGTGGTCACTGCTTTTAAACTATTTGTGTGCGTGTATAGAAAGTGGAATAATATTTCTGTAGGACACTACGTCAATTTACTAAATTCTTTTGTTCCAGTGAGAATTCGCTAAGAACCGAAATACGTGCCCAGTAGTGCTAGAAATTATTCATCATGTGACTAACCTTCATCAGTATTCCTAATTGCACTGTGGTATTTGAAATCTCACACAAAACGTGTAACAGAACAGTGTATAAACGCAAGAATAATCCGATCGTTCACAGTAGCTGAAACATCTGTGACAGTGCACATACAGCTGAAGAGTGAAATGTTGATGATGTTGTTAACTTCCACTCAGATCGATTCAAATAAGCTGTTGAGAACACTGTCGCTAATTTAATCTCTGTGAAGTACTCTAGGCAGTATATTTTACAAAGAACTCCTTGTTCATATTTTCTGTCACCGAAATGGAGAATGTAAGCTGGAATATATACAAATTTTAATTCGAATCTGAGGAAAAACTTCATGAGTTAGTGAAGAGTGCGAAGAATGGTCTCTCTGACAAGACTGTGGTTCGTGGTGGCGAAACTCTATTCATAATTGAGCGTGCAAAGATATTTAGTAAGTTTGAAGATTCAGTAATATTGTGTACGCCAGCTAATGACGCCCGTACCGATTTTGTGCAATTTAATCTCTACCAGACTATGGTTTTGTTTAGGTGTCGCATTGTCTTGAGCATTAGTGTGAACGAGGAGTAGGAAAGGGTGAACCAGGAACTTCCATAGATTGATAAACTCTATAGATGGATGAGCAGAATTGAAGTGTACATATCAATTTGACGCAGAATTAGGATGATTATCCGCTGTTTGTAATTAGGCCATAAATAATTGATATGGTGAGGAGGAATGTTGTAACCACTTGCAGATTGCCTATTAGTTAAGGTTATGTTGACACACGGTATTACAAAATGTTTTTGAAAAGCGTCATTCCTCGTATTCTTATATCTTTACTCCACATTGGGCAGGTACATTCATTTCTAAGCTGTAATGACTTGAACATGACTAGGATATTTATTTGATTGAGACAACACTAACTTCATCATAGAATAACAATATTTGGAGAGCATTTGACAGTCAGAGAACATTAGTGAATAATGAGAACTGTTCAATATTTAATACGCAATTGCAAAATGCCGACGTGTAACACCCAAATAGCTTGTGATGCATTCTTGTAGTACTGCATATATCAGAACGAAGTCAGGAGAAAATATTGAGAACAATTAAACGTATTGTATTTGGGATTCAAAACATGCAAAATAATAATAATGCACGAAAAAAACATCACTTGTGGAAAAATATCACACACCCCTGAAGGAGAATTGCTGAGAAACAAACGTTATTCAGGGTGAATTCATTGTTAGACCTCAGACGATAGTTGTCATTGAGTCCATTTCGAAAGATGGTTTTTCGACCTATGACTATTCACGACTGTTCGTTGTGCGAGATATAATAATGTATCTCAGATCACCAATATGCAATCTCTGTCAAAGCTTGCATTCCCTAAACACCAAAATCCGCACTATGACGATCAGATTTACGAAATAATACTGGACTACCTGCATCGTCATTAAGGCAGAAAATACCATCGGGAGTAGTGGACAATCCATCAAGCTTGGCGAAATACACCGGGAATATTCGTTTCAGATCCGCATTTTAATCTTTATTGACAGTCCATAGTACGTATCTCAAGTATCGAAGTAGAGAGTTTGCACGATGAAGCAAAATCAGAAAAGAAAGGTGTCTTTCCAAGGACAATGCTGTGAATAAGGTATTTGACGGTTTACTTCCTGTATCAACAATCAATTTGTGGGACGAACCAAAAGAGGTATGTAATCGCTCTTACATGTGGAAAGTACTTTTCTAAATCGTGGATAAAAATGAAATATAATCCTCAGAAGCTCCAATCTTATTAAGATTTATTAATTTGGTATGGTCATCAGAAGCTTCCACATCATAAGGATTTAATAACGGAGTATGATATCATCATCAATGAATTGAACAGAAGCCCAACACACAAACATTCTGCAGTGTTGTAAACACTTGTATAAGTAATATACGTTTTAATTGAGTAAAAACCATCACAGAGACATAGGAATCCGTGTTTTATGTCTCACCAATTAAATTACGTCAATTACAACGTGAATAACCATAAAAATTGTTGTTAGTTCAACGAAAAAATCTCCAATTTATTGAAATGAATAACTTAATATAAAGTGTTTTTAATAAACTACAAAATGAAGACAGAAAATTAAGCATGATGAAAACAAGCGATAAGTCTTTTTGAGAGCCATGGCATACAAGTCTTTTTACTGCACAACCATAGGCATATGGCACAGCCACTGCACACAACCAAGAAAGAGATAAGTTAACGTATGACGATGTGTAAGGAAGGACTTTTTTTCCCAGGTTCATTGCCTCCAGTCATTTCTGTTGTCATGTTCTGAAAGAGTGAAACAGTGGCAATATTACTAATTTTCAAATGTCAATCAAATAATTTATCATCCATTATACACCATTGTCAGTATTGATAACAGGAGTGAATTCAACAAATAGTTACATAAATTACATTTGCACAATGTGATCAATGAATAATGATTTAGAATATCTGCTACTGATTTGATAAGTACACATTATCAACAATAACTGCAGAGATACGCACGACAAACTCATTTTGTAAATAGGTTTATATGTTGTTTTAATTTTTTTTGTTAATTCTCATACTTTGTACATTTACCACAAGTGATTGTACAAGATGCTAAAGTGCATGACCTCAAACTCACTCACTTCCGTTTTCGATTTCTTCAAATCACAACACACTCTGTTAAACGATCATAAAAATATACTACTTCACATACTTGTCTCTCGTTCCTAATGGTCTGTTGTCATGATATCTGAACAATAAAATATCTATTATCTCCATTCATAGACTACCACAATATTTCCATTATAAACTACATCTGGACATATCTCACGAATGACGGCTTCATTGAAGCAGTCCATACAGGATAAATGTTTCTTAATAAGGAATCAGAAATACTTCTTCTGAATATAAACAATGAGAGTCTACGACCATTCAATTATTATCCAAACACGACAAATAATTTCCGACAGATTACAACTCCTTAGTCAAACTGATTTCATTGATATTTTGTAACAAGTCACACAGATAATGGGTTTCATATCAGACATCGAGAATTACTACACATGCTATGAGCTAGAAAATTAACATAATTCCAGGCATTGGTATTAAACAAGGCTTTCATTCCTTGCTGAATGTTCACATGGAAGCAAAGCAATGTACTAATGTCTGATTGAACATCGTCAGCCTATACAATGCTAAAGGAACAATACAAATCACTGCTTAAGTCATATTCAATTAAACGTGGATTTCGTGTGGCTTGTTTGACAAGGGTTGGTGTACTCAATAGGTTGACACTCGAGCTATTCTGAAAAACGAAAGAGTGACAATATTACTTGATGTCAATTACTTACGAAATCAGATTCAGGTACTTGGTCAGTTTTCTTCAATTCATCTATTAATTCAGATTCCCTTATACTTGAAGTTGTGGTAGTTCGTTCGACAAGAGTTGGTGTACTCAATAGGTTGACACTCGAGCTATTCTGAAAAACGAAAGAGTGACAATATTACTTGATGTCAATTACTTACGAAATCAGATTCAGGTACTTGGTCAGTTTTCTTCAATTCATCTATTAATTCAGATTCCCTTATACTTGAAGTTGTGGTAGTTCGTTCGACAAGAGTTGGTGTACTCAATAGGTTGACACTCGAGCTATTCTGAAAAACGAAAGAGTGACAATATTACTTGATGTCAATTACTTACGAAATCAGATTCAGGTACTTGGTCAGTTTTCTTCAATTCATCTATTAATTCAGATTCCCTTATACTTGAAGTTGTGGTAGTTCGTTCGACAAGAGTTGGTGTACTCAATAGGTTGACACTCGAGCTATTCTGAAAAACGAAAGAGTGACAATATTACTTGATGTCAATTACTTACGAAATCAGATTCAGGTACTTGGTCAGTTTTCTTCAATTCATCTATTAATTCAGATTCCCTTATACTTGAAGTTGTGGTAGTTCGTTCGACAAGAGTTGGTGTACTCAATAGGTTGACACTCGAGCTATTCTGAAAAACGAAAGAGTGACAATATTACTTGATGTCAATTACTTACGAAATCAGATTCAGGTACTTGGTCAGTTTTCTTCAATTCATCTATTAATTCAGATTCCCTTATACTTGAAGTTGTGGTAGTTCGTTCGACAAGAGTTGGTGTACTCAATAGGTTGACACTCGAGCTATTCTGAAAAACGAAAGAGTGACAATATTACTTGATGTCAATTACTTACGAAATCAGATTCAGGTACTTGGTCAGTTTTCTTCAATTCATCTATTAATTCAGATTCCCTTATACTTGAAGTTGTGGTAGTTCGTTCGACAAGAGTTGGTGTACTCAATAGGTTGACACTCGAGCTATTCTGAAAAACGAAAGAGTGACAATATTACTTGATGTCAATTACTTACGAAATCAGATTCAGGTACTTGGTCAGTTTTCTTCAATTCATCTATTAATTCAGATTCCCTTATACTTGAAGTTGTGGTAGTTCGTTCGACAAGAGTTGGTGTACTCAATAGGTTGACACTCGAGCTATTCTGAAAAACGAAAGAGTGACAATATTACTTGATGTCAATTACTTACGAAATCAGATTCAGGTACTTGGTCAGTTTTCTTCAATTCATCTATTAATTCAGATTCCATTATACTTGAAGTCGTTTTGGCCTGTTCGACATGGGTTGATTCTTTCATTAGGTTGACACTCAAGCTATTCTGAGAAACAAAACAGTGGCAATATTACCAAATATAAAGAACGTACCTTAAAGATAACTGTGATGTTAGGCACGACAAACTCGCTTCGTAAATAGGTTCGTCTTTTTTTAATTATCATAGTTTGTACATTTGTCACAATTGGATGTAAAATTTAAACTCACCCTCTTCCGTTTTTGAATTCCTCATAGCACAAGAAACGGTGCCGACAACTCATAAATATAATACTTTACTTACACGTCTCTCGTTCTCAATTGTCTGTTTACATGATGACTGAACTATAAAACATCTATTATGTACTAATATAGACTTATACAATATTTCCATTTTGAACTACACCTGGAGGTATTTTTTGAATGACTGCTTCATTGAAACAATCCATAAAGAATACATATTTCTCACAAAGGAATCAGAAATACTTCTTCTGAATATCAACAATGAGAGTCTACGACTTTTCAATTATTATCCAAACACGACAAATAATTTCGGACAGATTACGCTTCCACAGTCAAACTGATTTCATTGATATTTTGTAACCAGTCACATAGATATTTGGTTTCATATTGAACATTGAGAATTACCACGCATTCTATGGCCTATGAGAAATCAACATGTTTCCAGGCATCAGTGTCAAGCATCGCCTTCATTCATTAATGACTGTCCACATGGAAGCAAAGCAATGTACTGTTGTCTGATTGAATATTGTTAGCGTATACAATGCTTTGATTTATGCATTGAAGGAACAATACAAATCACTGCTTATTTGTAGCAACAATATGCTTTCTCTATTAAATACATTTCTAATGTAGATTGTGGTAACAGTAAGAACAACATGTAATGTCTGACAATTACTTACTACAATCTGGCAACCATTTACTTTGAAGTCATGAATATCCTTATTATTGTCGACAATGCACCTGTTCGCCACCTTACACCAAAAACATGTATTCGATGTTGTTGAGTTTTGACATGTTTCGATGGAATTGTGTTTTTCACAATCTTCAATGGAAAGAATACGGTGATTGTATTTCAAGTTATCAAACAAACATTAAGTAAATAACAAAACACATAACTACAACCCAATCATATAATGGTGATTTCGGATTTCAGTGACTATTTCATTTACTGGTAATTTGTCGTCACATTGCGCAATGCGAAAGTCAATACACTTTCAATGTCATTCATATTTCACGACATTATGCTGTAATTGAATAAAACCTCGTTGAATGTTTAACAAAGAGATTTGACGGGCAGTTCGGTCGATTTTCACGACTGTTGACATCCAGAATCGTACACACTATACTGTCACTATATTCAGAAAATCCCACTGCATTTGATGTTTGATGGTTGTTCAGTTCCTTTCCATAAAATCAGTTTTATGATCAAAATACGACTTGCATACCGCTCCTACATATCCGTAGGGGAGAATTACGTGATCAGCTGAGTATTTTAAAATCGGTGCAAGACAGTCAGCTGTCATCAGACAGAAAATTTATTTTCAATTATTTTAACTCAATCAAACAACGAAGGATGAGTGACATTCCTTTGTAATTCATGTTTGAATTTTTTCGCGAAGAGATTTCAGTCAACCTATTGTGATCAAATGTTTCAAACTTTGCAGCTGTCTGTCTGCTGTCAGTCAGCACGTCTAACTAGTTGGATCATAAAATCTCATCAACAGTAAATTATATTTTATTCGACGAACATTGAAATCAATCTGAACATGATCTTATGAAATGATATTTTTCAAACGTCTACTATGGTGGATTAAAATCTAAACTAGTTTCTGCGACTTCAATACTTTAGAAAATTTTGATACTGCATGTATCAAATGGATTGCAATGAACACTTACAAGTCAATGCATAATCAACTAACTAACTTATATCATCTCATCCACCGTTTCGTGAGATTGTGTTTGAGTAAATTTCATGGAAATTAGGATACCTTTATTTGTTCAAAATGTGTCCTTAATTATTTTAAATGCTCAACAGCGAATCGACGTGTAGTGCGACGTCAGTTGAGACTGATGGTTGGATGTCATTGAATAACTGACTGAAGTCACACATGAAATTTCCAATTTTATGAAACAGAAGTGATGAACTCAAGTGTAAAAATGGTCATTTCTGAGAAAATATGGTTAAACATACCACCGGAAACTTCAAACTCCACTAACGTTCCACTTTTGACCCATTTTGCATCAAAATATATGCCAACGTCTCTCTGATCTTGTGTAACAAAATGTACAGAAGACACATTAAATTTCCATTTTCAGTATAACAAGTTGTTTGCTCGATTAAGGAATGAACAAATAAAGAAACTGATAAACTGGTGATCACAGATACGGTAACAGTCGAACAACGTTCTCACAAACTATGCTTTACATCACCTTCTGACAAATGATGTTGTTCAATTTCTGATTTATTTTAATAGGGTGTCAATGCAAATCCTTGTGAGAACTCTGTTTCACTTGTCACAGACTATTTCACAAATAGTTGACATTGAGCATTACTGTGATTTGTCTCAGTAATATATTTAAACCGATCATCATATACCTCCTGACCAAATACATAATGCATTTCATCATATTAAATCACAAAACAGCGCATCCAACCTATTCATTTACACTAAATACTTGTCTTGAAATTCAGCTTCATCTTTCAAAAACATGTAATCATGTCACTGTAGTATGAGGACTGAGTATTGTTTAAGAAAGCTATCGGATCTGTTTGACAAAATAAACTGTCTCTTTCATAAAATAGTGTGTCAGTTAATAAATGTGTAGATATATTATCTGCCTAATTTCCTCGTTCATGTATCCCTGTGTGGATAAGACAGTCGTCAAACATATGCAAAAATATCTCCAAATTTCCATCAGCACTTTTGCGATGAAGATAACTACACATCTTAGTTCCATTACACAGTAAATCAAGTTAGAGAGACATGTATCCTGAAACTCATTGTTGATGAAATTTCGCACAGAAAACTGTAAAAAATTACAATGTTATCACAACAACTCAAATATTCTTAGTGATAGTAACAAGGATGACGGTTGTTGAAATGAACACACAGATACTTGATTTCAATTCAGATAATTTCAGTGTTCTATAGATCGAAAGACCTAATCACAAACTCAAGGCATTTTCGGAATGCGTTTCCTTTATGCTTTTATCACATGTAATACTGCAATTTCGCTTCAATATGTGTAAACTCATAATTGACGTTGAACTTCTAATAAACAGTAAGGTTTAAACAGTGAGTTTTCAAAAAGTATTCCGATTTCATTTCACACCATTTTCTTCAACACTTCAATAACACTTTGACCAATTTATTTTCACACGGAACAACTGATTGATGTGGACTGTATGAAGGATATATTAGATCACTATGAGAGATTACAGCCGATTTCTATGTTGATATATTAATAATCAGAAATAAACAGAAGGTAAAATTTAGCTAATAGATGATTGTTCATGTAAGTCAGTGTAAATCAGAATAAAAAATAGCATTTGTTACCTTCTTCTCCACACTCAAATAAACCGAAAATTTGCGATCGTGAATAATAGTTTTCATATCCCCAAGGTACCTGAAAATAAGTAATGAAATTCTGAGTCAAGGTCTGTCCACACACAGCCACCCCTGTCAAAACCAACTAATCATTGAAGTAATGTGTCGTCAGTCGCACAATCTTCTCCAAAGACAACTAGTCACACTTACAGTCGGCATACTGATCTCCCAAGTTTCTTTAGAAATATGCTCCATCTAGTCTACAAAGGTATTCTGACTCACATCAGTTGTCAACTTCAGTTAAATTAGATGAACGATCTATCTACCATGGAATGACGAGATGCATTGTCAGATGGATATCCACGTCCGTTGGTGGACATGTGATAGTGAATAACTGCAATATTGCTGCATGTGAATTTATTGTCATTTGGTGTAATTGTGTCGATGTGTTCACTTCCATCCATTACTGTTAGTATCCCATTAGAATTCTTTCCACAATATGTTCTGATTGCCCCGAACCAGTCAAAACCGATTCCATTGAAGACATATGAAATCTTTCATCTAACCAAGCCTTTCCATTTATCCATCATCTATTGTATTTCAAATGTGTGGGTAAATTACTATTCCTATTCGAATAGCCATACGCTGAGAAATGATCAAGATATTGATAATAAATCACTCAGAATATTCGACAGTGAACTTTTCAAAGAGCTGATCTTCAGAAGACGTAGAATAGCTTGACAGAATATGACTGTTCTCGTACAGTACTCTAACATACACTGTTTGTCTGTACTCTGTTCGAAAACTTAAGTATTTCCCTAGATATCACATCACTTCCTATTATTCAGTAATTTTAACAAAAGCCAAAGTAAAGTGTGCCACGAAGGTATTAATAGTAGTGTCATATACTCTGTGTGCCCTATTCAAATTGGTTCAATCGTATCTTGTTGCATTCGACAATATTGATATTCACAAGATATAATAATCTGAAGTACTTCAAATAAAACTATATTCCTATTGAATTTTGCAACTTACGTTATCATAATAGAAAGATATCTTTCCATTCGAATGTATCAGAGTAGTTACCTTGAATGTGCCATCTGTTAATTAAAGATTATCGAAATTTAGAATTTGAGAGATTCATGATGTTCAAGTTATTGTTAGATGTGACAATGATTGTGCTTACTCACAGAGTGATCGCATCTAGGCAAATGTTTTCAGTATTATCTCAAGTGTTTTCTTAAGTCGAATTCGTAATCAATATAATCTGGTGAATGTCGTGTAAATGAAACAAGCATACATCCTTCAAAATGAATATCAAATGCTTAGATTCTAAGGCTGTATAACACTCTTGCTTTCATATTGAAACAATACATCACTGGGCTTATAGTTAGATCTGACAGTTGAAGATGTATTCATATTGAAGTAATATTCTCTACCACTACCGTTCAAACAATCAACTCTTAGTACACATGACATGAGCTGTGAAGATTTTCTTTACAAAATAAACTTGGTAATTTAATTGTTTAGTCAACAAATGGGAATATCAGTGTTTGTTAAAGACTAAAAATGGAATACATGAAAATTATTCCTTCTATTGATTTCATAATGCGAATGAATAACATTTAAGTATGACCATGTGGTGAGTAACACAAGTTTACTTTCTTTGAAATACAGACTTCTGATCACGTTCCACTGCAGTCTCTTGATGAAAATGTACCTCTGCAAGTAAAATGACATTATGACTTAATTTATGCATATTCATTTATTTATTACTCATCAAATCTAGTTTGCTGCAGCGTATGCCAACTGTTCTTTTAATTTCAAACAATGTGTTCAAACAATCAGTGGATTCTACATTTCGCTTTCCTAATTTTCCAGGATGGTCACGTTTTATTACTTCTGTCGGGTTTTGAGAAGAATTCAATTACGCAAAACTGAAAAGAAGCAAGTGTGATTAATTACAATGAATGATGGTGTAAGTGTTCATAACTCACATGTGATCAATCAATCATTTTATAGTTTGCTTACTTAAATCTGATATTTGGAATGACAATCTATGTGCAAATACGTTCTCTGAAATAATGAAAGTAAAAAGAAAAATGTGTTTGTATATGTTTATGATGAATATCTGCTTCTTTTAATAAACATACAATAAAACATAAAGTGAGTTTGAACACGAGTTATCATCTTCGTTTCAAATTTCAGGTGAACCAAACCAATTAAATGGAAGTTTCAAGGGTCCTTATTATTATTTCAGCGATATGATGAATGCTTTAAACCAACCAAGTGAGAAGAAATGTTTACTTCTGAATCGTTGATTTTAAAAGCTTTTGGTCAACTAAGAGTACGTTGATGTCTAACGAAACATATACATACAAAATGGTTTCTGGAGATTCTGTTACTCCCCTGAAACTGTGTTCCCTCAATCGAACTAATTTTTACTCAGAAACGCTACTTCAATGTCATTAGTTCCAATCACTGAACAAAATGAATGAACTTCAGTTTTATGTTCTTGGTGTTCTGGTTTGAATCAATAGTGATGTGTTAGCACACTGTTCATGTTCGTTCGTTGATTCGATGTTTCAAGAAGGGCATGAGTTTGAACTTCATGGTCCTACAAATATGGTAATCGAGAAATTGTTTAATATTGAACTGTCTACAAACAGTGACTAAGAAACATTAAACTTTTAAGAGCTGAGTAAGTGACACCCAAAAATTTGAAAGGCGTCAAATATAATTTAAAAGTTCATGTGCTTCAATAATCCAAACCGATTTGTCGCACAACACCGACTATCGTTGTAGCTGTGATCAATTTGATTCATTGAATCTACCAAGAAGTGTCGTAGTGATATGTTATCTGTTTTATAGCAGCTTAAACAAACTGGAGAGTGGGTAATTTTCACTTTGGCAATTAAATAAATCGGCGTATCGTTTCTAGTCATCAATTCGCGTCTACTTTGAAGTGAATCGGTGTTTTATTCAACTCTTTCACTTGACAGTAATGAAAAAGTGTTGTGAACATATTTGAGGTCATGAAATCACACAAACAATATAATCACTATGTACCGGTCAGCTCTCACGAGATAATCAACCTGAATGCTGAATGATTTATGCAAAATAAAAATGAGAATTAAAACAACAAAACGAAATATCACTGAATAATAGTAGAACTCACTATCATTCGAAATCTCACATTCAGACGAAATAATGTCAGGTACATAATGGTCAATTGCTCCTAAGAACGTTTCTCCGTATATTTCTATTGAACCTGTATTAATCGAATGAAAACATGCAATTTGATTGATAATCTTCTTTGAAAGAATAAAAAGCTTTGAAATTAACTCTAGACTAAAATGAATTGCATAAATCGTGAGACGTTTGCTTTAAGACATCAAAATATTTACAAATTGAACAAAATAAGATGTCGGTAGAAGTTTTGATTGTTACAAATAGACATGAAATTGATTTTCCGATGAAATTAAAGCAACTTTGATTTATGGAATGAAATGTGAATAGACAAAGCTCAGTCAATATTTTATTTCAAAGAAAATCATTCTCTTACCATATTTGGTAATGACGAGTCTAGTGACATCAGAGCCGTAAAATTTAAAAGAGAATTTTGGAGTAATCCTCTGAAGCTATGCAAACATATGGATTAATACCTACTTTGCAAAATTTAGTTGACTCACTTCATCAGTAACCAATTTCTCAAACGTTCCATTAACAAAAGGAGAGGGTTGATTTAGGCGAATCAATCGGGAATAATAATAATAGTGAGACTGAATATGTGTATTAGAACCTGACTGATAACTTACATATTCATGTGATTCACGTTCAAATACTAGTTCATTTGCTCTATTCAAATTCATTTCGTCACAAGCATGTTGACAATTGAAGATCTTAAAAGCCAAGCTGACCATCAAATAAACGAATAACAGCTGGTCACAGGAAAACTTATATCTAAAGTGGTTCAGATAAAGAAACGGCCTTATTTCATTGAAAGAAAATGACAGTCATATAATACACTCATTAACCTTAACTGTACAGTTAATACTCACCTCATCTTCTTCTTGAAAACGTTAATAATTGTTGTTAGAACGTATCCAGTTTATGTAGATTTTCAAAGTGTGTGTTTCTTTCTTTCTGGTTGGATGATTCAAAGTGACCATTGAGACGATCAAAATTCATGAAATTGTATGGTCATTTTTAACCAATCATCGTGAAAGATGAACTCATCGTTAATTAATACTCTCCTATCTATTGAGGTATATAGGCTACCAATTATCCACTGTTTGGTTGAAATTCATGACCCCTATTGATGTAAACTATTCTGAATATGATTAGTCATACTTTAAACTATGTGACTGGTTTATTTGTTGTTAAAAATGAGTTGTTATATTTCGATGGACAAACATTTTGTTACTTGTAATAATCTGTGAATTGAGTGTCATTAGTGAGTGTTTTGATTTGATTAGTTAAAATTTAGGTAGCACAAACAGCTTTGATTGGATACCTCAATTCACATTTCCATAATTGAATTTTATTGCAATAAAGTTAATTCTGCCAGACGATCCCATCATCGATGAATGCGAAATTGTATTTTCTGTACAATGTCACATGAATTATAGTTGACCCGCTATATTCTACCACTAGCCGTTAATAGATATTGAGACCAAAATAGACAGAAATTTTATTATTGATCAAGTTCAAGTAAAACGAAATGCGTTTAGTTGTGTAGATTTATGTGATCAATGATTGAAATAAAATAAAGATAATATATTTCATTGAAAATGAATGAATTTCTCGATTCACACACAGATTTATAATCACCATAAAGATCATTGAACCTGAAGGTTAATAAAAGTGTCAATAGACAAGAAGAATACTGATTTACACTTCACTATTTCAATGAATGATTTACACATATCCATTGAGCTTGTTTTGATTATCATCTGTATTTAAACATACGATTGAATCATTATGATAAGAGAATGTCAAAGGTAAATTTAGTCCATACTAAACTCAATGAATCAATTATTATCGAATGAATAACAGCCTTCACTACCGTAAATGAAAAGTAAATTCTGCTGAACAAGTCAAGACTATTTATGTTTTGTTTATATTTGCCCAAAGTCATTTTCGTTTATATGAGGTTGATTTGTGCACCATAAAAAGATGTTGACAATAACCAAATTATTGTTACCTCGAGTACGACATTCTATAATCTAATGAAGGGCTGTTGCATAATTTCTCGAAATCATAAACAACAGAACTCTCTTCAATTTTATATAAAATTGTACCACAAATAATTATTCAAGCATCAAATTATCAAAAGAAACATTATTAGTTTTATGATCATCATTGGTGTAGTAGCAGTATTATTGAGTTGGCTTCCAGAGAACTTAAACGGAGCCTCTAGAGGCTCATAAAGAGCCCCAGCCAATCAGAGTACGATAGAACATTCTAGAGTCCAACGTCGCATGATACTATTGGTCGGTAGCAATATATGTCGTTAAATGGATTGGCTGAAATAGGGTGTTCATTTAACATATGCTAACTTCTATAAATACCTATGATTTTCTGTACAAAAATAAACTTCGCAGTAAAGTGTTTCTCTGATACTCGTGTCATCTCCCTGGTGTTCCAGTTGCTGAGTAGTGCTAGCCCTGGGGATATCCGAATAGCTTAGGATCTGAATGAAGCGTTCAACCTACGAGACATCAGTGCCGAAGAAGAACCTAGAGAATAACTTGGTGAAACATGCAGGAACTGTGAACCGTGAATGTGACAGGATCGGATTGTCGTCCATTTCTGAGGACCAGTTTAAGTGATTGGTATTTATCTGCAGCCTGCGTTCACCTTATGATGCTGATATCCGGACCAGAATCCTATGCGAACTTGAACACTGCCCTTACATGACCCTACAGGAAGTAACTACCGAGTGCCAAAGTTTAGTGAACTTTAAGCATGATACCTCAAAGGTAGAGAATGGTAATTGTTTCCATAATGTCAATGCAGTCAAGAAAAAATCATTGAAAGGTTCACGCACACCTAATTATCGTATTAACGGCGACAAACGATAATCTCCATGCTGAGCAAATGGAGGCTGGCACTATAAGACGTTTTACCCGTATAAAGAACATTGTTGCGGTAAGTTTCATCGAAAGAGCCATAAAGAAACCAGATGCAGAAAAAGAAACTGTAAACGACATTTTGCAAAACCTTACTTCAATAAATACAGATCTGGGGCATTATGGAAAGGAATTTTGGTATCACATAACAAAGCTCGAAGTTGCGGCCAGAGAAAGTACGTAACTGTGAATATTAATAAACACCGCTCTTGACTTCAGCTTGATACGGCTTCTGATATTACGTTAATAAGTCCAGAAACTTGGAAGAAGATTAGGCGACCCACGGTGCATCGAACAGCACAAATAACACACAATGCATCAGATGGAAAGTTAAATATTGTTGGAGAAACACCTTGCATTGTGTCTTAAGGTGCGGTAATAACAACAGTATATCTTACAAAGAAGCCAGCACTCGATTTATTGGGGTTAGGTCTTATAGAAACACTTAAATTAACAGACCACTCTATTAAGAGTAAATGCAAACGAATCACACGTGTTTGAAGAAGGATTAGGCGAATGCACGAAGGCTAAAGCAGTGCTAACTCTAAAGCCTGCAGCTACTCTCATTTTTCGACCTAAAACACCTGTGCCCTATGCTGCTCTTCCAATAGTTGAACAGGATTTACAACGATTTCCGAAAATGAGTGTTATCGAGCCTGTGAACTTCTCGAACTGGGCTGCACCGATAGTGGTGATTAGGAAGTCGAATGGAAGTGTCCGTCTATGTGCAGACTACTCCACAGGATTAAATGAAGCTCTAGAGTACCATCAGTATCCGTTGCCCTTACCAGAAGATCTTTTCGCTAAGCTGAACGGTGGCAGATATTTTGCTAAATTGGACTTATCAGACGCATATCTACAAATCCCGGTATCTGATGAAAGTAATGATCTTTTAACGATCAACACACACAAAGGTCTGTTCCGGTATAACCGACTACCTTTTGGGGTGAACACAGCGCTCTCTATTTTTCAGCAAATTATGGATACCATGTTACAAGGTATTTCAGGGGCTGCAGCTTACTTAGACGACATAATACTTATGGCAGTAGATAAAATGGACCTGCAGAAGAAGCTGGACCTGGTACTAGAACGCATAGTCGATTATGGTTTACGCCTCCGAGCGGAAAAGTGTGACTTCTATATGCAGCAAGTACGGTACTTTGTGTTCATAAAAGATAAAGATGAAAGACGACCAGATCCAGAGAACATTGAAGCAGTTCAAGCAATGCCTAGACCAAGGTACATTACTACCCTATGATCATTCTTGGGATTGTTCAACCATAATGTTGCCTTCCTCCTCGATCTTCACCGTCTACGTGCTCCACTAAACAACTTACTACAAAAGAATACGAGATGGAATTGGTCTGCAGACTGCCAAGCGTCTTTCGAGAAAATCAAGCAACTCCTGACACAGTATGATCCTTCGCTACCGAAAGTCGTCGCTTCAGATGCTTCTAACTATGGTGTAGGTGCAGTTACCTCTCACATTTTTCCTGAAAAACCTATCTCAAACGCTTTCGGATTTTTAACAACGACCGAAAGGAACTATAGTCAGATTGAAAAAAAAGCCTATCAATTATCTTTGAAGAGAAGAAGGACCATAAGATGATATGTGGTCGACATTTTACTCCATTAACAGACCATTAACCACTACTTGCAGCTTTTGGGTCAAAGAAAAATATTCCAGTTCATACAGATAACGGACTCCAACGATGGGCAACCACACTTCTTGGTTACGACTTCAAGATAAAGTATCAGTCTACTACCGCCTTCGGACAAGTTGACGCATTGTGAAGAATAATAGGCTATCAATCGAAAACCTCAGAGGATATTCTTGTAGCAAAAATAAAAGCCGAGGAAGAAGTTCATCGTGTATTGGATGACGCAATCAATGGACTCTCAGCAACCTTTGAAACTATCAAGAAGATGACTGAAAGTGATAAGATACTTTAAACATCTTACAGATCCACTCGAAATCCGAATGTTCAAACGGCAAGTCTCTTGCGGAAGTCATGTTCGAAAAACGTGTTCGAACCGTCTTCAATGCCATGTTGCCAACCAAATTAGTTGACGAGCGCAGTCACAATCCAAATTACCGGAACTTCACTGCTGGTGAAAAAGTTTACATTAAATCCTACATCGGGAAGGACCGCTGGGAGCCGGGAGAAGTGGTACAAAAATTAGGAAGCGTTCTGTACAGAGTTCGAGGAACTTTTGTGACATGTACACGACACACAAATCAAATCCTTAAAGAAAAAAGAATGATGCAAAATCGAAGTGACCGCCCGATTTTTCCGTTAGATTTAATCTTAGATGCACCAATGCCACAAATGCCTAACAACACTGACAAGAAGCCGTGGTCAAGGAAGACGACGAGAATAATGGGACAACGTCGCAACCCAGTAGTCAAACTACAAGTTGACCCTTGAAAGAAATATTATTCGATTGAGGTGTTGAGTTGGCTTCCACAGAACTCCGACAGAGACTCCAGAGGCTCATAAAGAGCGTCAGCCAATCATAGTACGATAGAACATTCTAGAGTCAAGCAAACACCACGAATCATATGCATTTAGGAATCAGGTTTCAGATATTGCGAATTCTGTTCGATTTATCTGATCCCATTTAACAAAACATTAGATTTTATCATTTCTGCTATTTGCTATAAAATTCCTAAAGTAGAATTCATTGTCTTTTATTCAGTATAGATTATCGGAGTATTTAATTACACAAACATATTTCTGTTTACCTCAATTGTTTACAGAAATTTCAATGAGTTTACTTTGTTGTTGTTTATCACCTCATTTTATCTCATTAAACAAATCTTATGGTATTCTTTAGTCTTTATTCTGTATAAATAGCGTAATATGAGTCTTGTTTACAATAAAACTAAACGCATTCTTATATAATAAGTCACTGTTTATGTGATTCACTATCACCTAAGCATACTAACACACACGCGCAAAGCAAACATCAGTGAAATTCACATTTTTAAAATCATTACCACATTTGTAAGTACAAAGTGAAGAGAAAAAATTCTTTTGACTGTTGATTCACAGAAGGTCTTGCTCCATCTTTCAATAAATACTGTAACCATTTAACAATCAAATTTCAAATGAGTTTGGTGGTCGGTTTCCCATGGAAAC